GAAAAAGACAAGTGGTCAGGCTTAGACATTGAATGTCAAAACCTTGGCACTTGTTTTTTTTTTTTAATTAAAAAATTGGTTTCGAATTGGTTTTTTTTTTCCTTTTTAATTGAAAGATTGGCTTGAAAATTGGATTTCCTAACCACAAAAAACCGTCCTGACATCCAATGGCCAAACCAATCTTTAGCCGAAAGAAAAAAGACAAAAAAAAAAAGGACTCGATTTGGACATTGGATAGTTTAACACCAAGGGTTATTTGGGAATAAATGAAAAAGTGGTATTTAAGAGCGTAATAGACAATATATGAGTCTACTTTTCAATATCTATAAAATTTTGAGAAAATCCTTTAATATGAATTTTTTAAACATTTTACCCGCCAATACTTTTATAGTAAACTCTAAATCCAATCACTGTTTTTTCTTGCTTTTACCCCCAATGTAAAAGTAAATCTAAATGACTAAACTATCATTCCCCTATCTCTCTGTCTCTACCTGTCATCTCGCTCTCTTCCTGCCCTCTCTACCTGTATGCCTATTCTCTCTCTACCCGCCATCTCTCTTTCTCTCTACTTGCTATCTTTCTCTACCCGCTCTCTCTCTCTCTACTTGTCCTCTCTCTCTATCTCTCATTGGACTTAGCTTCAGAAGTCCCATAAGACAGTTCGGCACACTTTTGTGCCGGACTACAAAAAAATTTCAGTGCAGCATAAAATTGTGTCAGACTAGTCACAAGCTCTTGGACATCCAGATGCCCCATAAGACGGTCCGACACAGGTTTGTGTGGGACCGAATTTGTTCGGTCTAGCATAAAATTGTGCTAGATTGCCTTACGGGGCTTCTGGATATCCCCCTATGACTAGTTTGACACATTTTGTGCTGGACCGAAAAAATTCTCATGCTTTTGGAAATCTAGAAGCCCCATAAGGCGGTCTGGCACAGTTTTATGCCGAATCGAAATAAAAATTTTGGTCCGGCACAAAACTATGCCAAACACTCTTATGAGGCTTATGGATTTCCAGGAGCTTATGACTGGACCAAATTTTTTTTGTGGTCCTTCACAAAAGTGTGCTGGACCGAATTTTTTTGGTGGTCTGGCACAAAAGTGTGCCGGACCGTCTTATGTGACTTTTGAAGCTAAGTCCATAGAGAAAGAGAGGGTGGGTAGAGAGAGAGAGGATGAGTAGAGAAAAAGAGGGAGAAAGGTGGGAAAAAAGAGAGGGAAGGTGGGTAGAGAGAGACAGAGAGAGAAAGAGAGAGGAGAATGGTAGTTTAGTCTTTAAATAGTTTACATTTTTATTGTGGGAAGGTGGGTTAAAAGTAAGAAAGAGCAGACACTTCGTTTAGAATGTGATACAAAAAATCTTGAAAGATAGAATGTCTACAAAGTTCATTATGAGGAGGGTATAATAATTTTCCCTAAAATTTTCGTAAACTTTTTTCTTATTATGTTACAAACTGAAAATACCATTTCCTCTTCCAATACGCAAATGGTGATTTTATTTGTGTATTTTATAATAGAGTTCACATGCAATAATTCCATACAGGTGATGCAGATCTAGGAACTTGTAATTACATGCAACAATTCCATACATGTCATGCAGGTCTAGGAACTTGTAATTATTAAAAGAAGTTTCATTTCTTCTTTCCTTTTTGTTTTCTTTCATTAAGAATTTTACACACAAGTGTTATACCTATGATGTGTGATTAACAAAACTTAATTTCAAACACTCAATCAGGATTTGTAAGGCACACCAGACAGTCTTCATAATAATTTATCATTCCTTTTTTTCTTGCATTCTAAGAGCAATAAGTACCTCCTTGGCTTCTTTAATCAATGAAAACTGAGGGTGGTGCATGCCTTTCACTGTTACATATGATTAGTTTCTAACTTGTATCTTACACTTTGGGGAAGGGAGGAAGACAAGAAAAGGTCTCTTACTTGAAATAACTTAGATTGTTTAGGTGATGGAGGTGGTGTCAATGAGGAGAGAGAGAGAGAAAGAAATTGTCAAGGTGATGAAGGTGCTGTGTGATGAGGAGAGAGAGAGATTATATGTTGGACATAGTAAAATCATTGCCAACAGAGTCATTCATCAACATGCTAAATCAATAGAAGTATACTTTTCCTAACTATTAAACCAATTCATTTAAGGATGTGGTTTCTACAAGGATGAGGCCCCAAACAATCAAAGTAGTGCGCACCTTCAAATAGTGTTGAAATATGTTATTCTTTTATCAGAAATCTTTGTAACAGCCTGAAAATTTATTTTCAAATCTAATCATAAAAATTAAAACTTCAAAAATAGAGTAAGCATCGAAACAACCTCTTCTAATGAATTTTTTAGGTTTGCCATAATTTGATTGTTTAGGGCATCTACCTTGTATAACCTTTTTTTCTTCAGTTAATGATCAAGAAAAAAAAAACTAATACGCCACACATCCTTATGAACACATGAGATATGTGGTCATGTGCAGCATTTGCTCGAGGGAAATATATTGTGATCCTTATGACCACAAGAGATACGTGGTCATGAGATTGGTTGCAGGAGAATTAATTAGTTTGAAGGTGATCAATGGGTGGAACCCTCCAAATATTGACATGAATTGGATGGTGGGTCCCACTTTTTCTCCACCGTCAACCAATCAATTCTACTGTGATGGCTCTCATGACCACATATTCTTTATGGTCATTCCTCGGTGGTAAAATTTATCAAATTATCCATGAAAGATGAAAAAATTTAACACTTTATACATATCATGCTATTTAATTTGAATATTGCAAGTGGACACGATACTAAATATTTCATCAGACCGATATTTTGATAAATTTCTCTTTGAAAACCTTAAGCCTTTTCTCACAAAATCGTCAAAGCGGTAAAAAAAATTTGGAGACGAAAGGAGCAATGTCAAACGTGCATGTGACGATGTGTGGGACCCATTTAAATAGCAGAATTCGTGTGTACGGGGCTGTCTTAGCGGAATACACGATTACGATCCAAGCTAGCGTCATGGATTCGGAAAATCCTAGCCGTCCAGTCAGACGATACCATGATTTACGCCTCCCGTGCATGGTGCGTAATGAGAATTGTTTTGCGATTTGATGCTTAGGATTTGTCATTTTAGTGCAATGGTCATGTAAACTACAAAAATTAGAAAGAGAGAGAGAGAGGACCACGGATTTGTCATTTTAGTGCAATGGTTATGTAAACTACAAACATGACAGAGAGAGAGAGGACCACAGCCTTGGCCGAAATATGACGCGACTTTACAGAGGGGTGTGGTTTGTAGAAGGCCTAGCCCTAAACAATCAAAGTGGGCCGCACATTCAAATAGTGTACAAAGATATTGTTTCTATATCAGATTTCTTTATAATAGCCTGAAAATTTATTTTTATCTCTAATTATAAAATTTAAAGTTAGAAAATAGTGTAGATCGAGCAAATCTATGATCACTTGAAAATCTAAAAAATTGACGGTCTAGATAATATACTACAAGATGCATTATTTCTAATACTTGAAATCTATTTTTTCTCATGTCTATATATCTTAAAGTCGAGATGATTGAATTCAGGGTTTTCCAGCATTGAAACATCTTTTTTAATGAATCTTTGATGTGTGCCTTAATTTGATTGTTTAGGGCCTCACCTTTATACAAAATTATTTCGTAAGGGCTTGTTTGTTTGGCTAAAAGATATCTTTTAGGAAGAAAAACTTTCCTATTTCTTCTAGAATGTTTAAATAAGTTTTGGGTATACTGTGTTTGAAAACAAATATATATTGACAATATAAATATATAATATATATAACATAACATAATATAATATATAATATAATATATTTTATATAGATTTTATTAATATATATTTGTATTATATATAATATATAATCAATATATTATATAATACAAATTATATTAATAAAATAAATATAAATATATAGTATATATAACAATCTAATATATAATAAAATGTATTATATATATTAATATATTGTATTGATATATAGTTGTATTATATATAATGTAATATAATATATATTATATAGTATATAATATAATATAATATGATATTATATAATAATATTATATTATATCGTGTTCATAATACTATATTATGCATATATTATCTAATATTATATACTATAGTATAACACAAAATATTATAGGATTTATATAAAATATTATTTATTTATTAAGATTATATATTATTGATATATAAATATAAATAAAATATTATTTTGTAAATAGTTAATAGTGAATCTACAAAAACGATATGAAAGATTAAGTTCCTACCTCAAGAACTTAAATTTTCATATTTTAACAAAAAAATGGAAACTTTATTGAAAAATATCTTTCACAAAGAAATAAAGGTTATTGTGCATCGAATGTAGAACTTTTAGCAATTGGAAAGATTTCTCAGCCAAACAAACACGCCCTTAAAGAGCGATATGACTATTGTTTGAAATGCAGTTTTCACGACCCATGAAGAAATGAGTCATCTATTAAAAGTTTATTTTTGAAATGGATTTTTGGACCCAATTTTTAAAAATATGTAATATCTAACATGGAGATCATGAATACAGAAAAATAAATAAATTTCAAAAAATAAAAATAATAACTTTAAGAAGAAAATATTTGGACTGTTAATATCAATTGTTTTTAGATAAATAACCCGTTTACATCCATCATATTACTCACGAGAAGTAAATGTAGAAACGCGTCCCGGGACGCATAAAACAATTTTCAGCATTAAAACAACCTTTCCCGGATTTAAAATTGAAACCTCATGTAAACTGTTTCTTGGTTGAAAATACATGTTTTGACTTTGAAGTTGCAGAGAGAGGACCACTTACCCGAGCATATTTATTATTCTACATAGTAAAAGACAATCAAGAAGACAGAGAGGACGATTCATAATAAGGGAGAGGGAGAGGGAGAGGGAGAGGGAGAGGGAGAGTGGACCATTGCCCTGGGCATACAGGTAATTTGACTTAGAAACAAGGAAAAATACAATCCCCATGTTCAAACAAGACTTCCACATTCTTCTTCATCTTATGTTCAGTGAATAATGAATCCGATTCACCTATCTCCAGTCCTCCCCAATAACCCCCCAAACTTTAAAGAAAACAGTAAAAAAAAGGATATGATAAAATAAGTTTGAATAAGCTTATAGTTGCAGCAAGAATGAATGATCGTTTAATCATTATATTTACGCCGCTTTCTCTCTGTCTCTCTCTCTCCATAAATCAATGGCCTTTGAAGACTTCCATCTCCCCACCATTTATGAAAACCACCTTCTGAGCTTTGTGTCTTGTGCTTAAATTCCCTCTCTCTTTCTGTCTGCAAATCCAGAAAGCGCGTTGAGATTTTAATGGAGCTTTGTAGATGGGTAGGTGCTTCTGCTTCTCTCTAATACCTCATGGAGAAATGGGTCTCTGCACTCCACTTTCTCTCTCTCTCTCTACAAATGCTTCGAAACCAGACAAGGTGAGTTCACGTTTTTCTGACTACCAGATGTCAGAGACAACCCCAAAACCACTCTACTGTTAGAGAGAGGTTTCACCTCTGGATTTGCAGTAATGAGTGGTTCTCATTAATTTGGAGAAGGCTCTGTATTTTTACTTGCTCATTGACTCGTTTGAACCTCTCTCTCAAATGGGTTTCTCTGTTCTTAATCTTTGACTGAGTTTGAACCTCTCTCTAAAATGGGTTTCTGTGTTTTCAATGTGTTACTGGTCTTTGCCTTAGTTTTAGGGAACTCTCTCTCTCAAGACCTTAACTCAGATGGGGCTTTCATTTCTGACTTCCTGAGAGAAATGGGGGTCCCAGAAGGCGATTTCAACTTTGCTGCTCCTTTTTGTTCCTGGAGAGGAGTCTTTTGTGATACCCAAAAGGAAAATGTGCTCAAATTAGAGCTCTCGGGCTCTGGTCTCTCTGGTGTGTTGCCTGAAAACACCTTTGCTAAGCTCAAAAAGCTTCAATCTATGGATCTGAGCAACAATTCCATCACTGGTTTTTCCTCTGATTTCTGGGGCTTAGGTGGTACTCTCTTGAGTCTCAACCTTTCTTCAAATCGATTTTTCGGAATCCTTCCTAGTAATATTGGGAATTTTGGGTTCTTGAAAAGCTTTGATCTTTCCTTTAATAATTTTTCAGGAGAGATACCGGCAAGTTTAAGCTCTCTCTTATCTCTGCAAGTTCTCGCCCTAGGTAGCAATTCTTTTGAGGGGAACATTCCTGTGCAAATATTGAGCTTGAAATTTCTGGTTGCTGTTGATCTTTCTTTAAACAGGCTTGTTGGGGAAATCCCGCAAAATTTCTCGGCTTCTTTAACAGGACTCAAAGCTCTCAATCTTGCAGGAAATGGAATTCAGGGTAGGATTTCTGATTTCTCAGGCCTGATATCTTTGGAGTCTCTCAATATTTCTGGTAATTTTTTTGAGGGTCCAGTATTGGGTCTATTTCAGGAATCATTGAAGGTCTTAGACATTAGCAAAAACCAGTTTCAGGGCCATATTTCACAGATAAGCTTCAATTCGAATTGGCCTAATCTGGTTTTCCTCGATATGTCATTGAACCAACTCAGTGGAGAGATTTTCACTGATTTGAACAAAGCCCACTCTCTAAAGCACCTCAACCTTGCTCATAATCGTTTCTCTCTCCAAAAATTCCCTCTCATAAATGACCTCAAGTCCCTCGAGCGTCTAAACCTATCGGACACTGGACTCACAGGCCCAATCCCTCAAGAAATCTCAGAACTCAAGAGTTTACATCTCCTTGATCTCTCTCTAAACTTTCTCACTGGTACGGTTCCCAGTCTAACCACTCTGGACCATCTCGATCTCTCTTACAACAATCTCAGTGGAGAAATTCCTTCACCATTGTTAGAATCTCTACCTTCAATGGAGAAATTTAACTTTTCCTATAACAATTTGACAATTTGTTACAAGAATTCACTTCCTCAAACTTTCCCATTATCCTTCTTGGGATCCACTAACGGCTGCCCAATAGCAGCTGATCCAAACCTTTTCCAAAGAACCCGAACAAGAAACCGACACATGAGGCTTGAGCTTGCAATAACTATTGCCACTGTTTGTTTCCTAGCTGGTTTGGTTTGTTTAGCCTTTGGTTGTCGACGAAGAACCAGGCTGTGGGCAGAGAAACAAGTTCCTTACAAGGAAGAACAGAACATTTCAGGACCATTTTCATTTCAAACTGATTCAACAACTTGGGTTGCTGATGTAAAGCTTGCTACCTCAGTACCAGTGACCATGTTTGAGAAGCCATTAATGAACATTACATTTGCTGATCTTTTAGCCGCTACTTCTCATTTCGATAGAGGAACTTTGTTGGCAGAAGGGAGATATGGCCCTGTTTATAGAGGAGTTTTACCAGGAGGAATCCATGTAGCTGTGAAAGTTTTGATAAATTCTTCCTCCATTAATGACCAAGAAGCAGCTTCAGCGCTCGAACACTTAGGTAAAATCAAGCACCCCAACCTTGTTCCATTAACTGGTTATTGTTTAGCTGGGGATCAAAGAATAGCCATCTATAAATACATGGAACACGGAAATCTGCAAAATATGCTCCATGATTTGCCGATTGGTGGCCAAATTACAGAGGATTGGAGCACTGATACATGGGAAGAAGAATACGGCGGTGAAACTCAAGAGAAACAAAGTTTAATTTCATGGAGATTTCGCCATAGAATTACACTGGGAACTGCAAGAGCTATAGCATTTTTGCACCATGGTTGCTCACCGCCTATAATTCACAGAGATGTTAAAGCAAGTAGCATATATTTGGACGCCCAATTTGAACCAAGGTTATCAGATTTTGGACTAGCAAAAATCGCAGGAATTGAGCCTGAAAATGAGAGGTTTTTGGGCTCTCCCGAATATAAACCACCAGAATTTGATCAAAATCCAGCGAGTTTAGTGAGTGAGAAGAGTGACGTTTATGCATTTGGGGTTGTGTTAATTGAGGTGATTACTGGTAAAAAGCCATTAGGTGATGAATATGGAGAAGGAGAAGTGAGTCTTGTTAGTTGGGTTAGAGGATTGGTAAGGAAGAAGATTGGGTGGAAAGCCATTGATCAAAAGATTATAGGGACTGGTTCTCAAGAACAAATGGAGGAGGGATTGAGGATTGGATATCTTTGCACTGCTGAGTCACCATTGAAGAGGCCTGATATGCATCAGATTGTGGGGCTCCTAAAGGATATTGAGCCAGTTGGGGATCAATGAGTGGGGGAGGAGAGAAGTGCTCTCTCTCTCTGTCTCTCTCTCTACAGTATAAGTTATACACTGTACAGAGATTTTTTGGCAAGAGAATTTTTTTTTTTTTGCTGGTTTTGTCACCTTCTTTGTTTTAATCCAAACAAAAGATATCCTCTGTTCTTTTCTTTCTACCTGTTTCCTTTTTACTGGATTATTTTTGTTACTAATATTAGTTGTTCTTCGGTCTATGTTGTTGAAACTTGTAATTGTTTATACAGCCGTCCCACTTTAAAATACCTTTACATCACCCTCATTCCACATTTTCGCTCCCTGTTTTCAAGCTTCATCCATGGTTGTTGGATGGGTAGGTTCTAGCCCTCTCTCTCTTATCACGGTGTTTTAAAACCCGGAATGGGGTCTCGGATCCCCTAGCCACTGTGGTGATCCAAATTGATTAAATGACAACAATTGGTAAAAAAATATTAATAGTAAAAGAGAATTTAGAGATTTAGGGGAGCACGCCCACCCACCGTATCCGATCTGGATTGGCAATTCCAATTAGCATAGCTTTGATTGGAGCAAAATAGAATATAAGAATTAGATGAAATAGAGAGAAATAAAATAAAATAAAAGAACCTCTCAAAGGTCAAGGTAGCACAAAAGTGGGCTTTGGAAGTTCCCTTTCGACCTTTCTTTTCACAATTTTTTCCTACATATTTCACTTTCAAGCTTCAACTTTGCTTCAACTTTATGAATGAGAATTCATGGTGACGTGCTTCAACAGAAACCTCTAAACGCTAGAGGTCAAATCCACATTTTAGGGTTTTTAACTTAGCTGTAATTGGATTCCCATTTTGCACCCTGCTGCGATCACAGCCTTAAATCTCTATGTAATTATCATCATTGTGCTTTAGACGATGGCTAAATTAAAAAAAAAAAAAAAAGTAATATGTCACATAGGCCATACTAATGTTATGCATGTGATATAGTTATAATTGGATAAATTTTTATTCTTGAAATAAACAGTTGAAAAAATGCATCATTCAATTATTAAAGAAGAGAGAGGGTGTTTGATTAATCCAAATCTACGTAATTTCTTCAATTCGATACTAACTAGAGCTAAACAAATTCAAATAAACTTTGAGTATATTCCAAAAAGGCGTCATTCAATTATTAACGAAGAGAGAGAGAGAGAGAGAGAGAG